GCATGGCTGGAGCTCCTCCATCTGCAGGCACCCGGGGCTTGTTGTTCACACATGGTCAGGTGGGACAGCAGGGCTCTCCCATCTGGCACAGAAATAGCCATCACAGCCATATCTTTGTTTATCTCACCTTAACTGTGCCCTCCCAAAGTTCTCACTGGCTACTGCTAGCTCCAGGAAAAGGCAACAGCAGAAATAAAAATATGTGGCATGTACGACTATGGTTTTATTTCCTGCTATTCGGAGGTCTGAATCTCAAATATCTTAACTCTTCCACACTTCCAGAGGTGAGAGGTTTGCTGAACTGACTGTTTCAAAAGAGAACGAGCCTGTGTAGAGTACTTTAAGTCATTGGCGTTAACGTTTACTATTAATGAGTAAGGTTTTGTGTTCACAAGCCCAAGTCACAACGGCAGATGTACGCCTAGWGTCCCAAAGGGAGATACCATCCTTGCCAACTCCTCTTTGGCTTCTACCATTCCTTGGGCCTCACTTTATTAGCAGAAAATCACAGCTCACTTGCCAGTTTACAATGTCAGGGCGTCAGTTGGTTATTTTCTCTACTGCACCAGTCAACCTTCTGTGGCACACTAMGACAAGTGAAAGTTGGCTGAGTTTTCATTATCATTTATGTATTTCATACATATAAGATGTAAAGATTAGCACTGTATATGGGAGTGTTTACTGAACCCCATAACGATATCTAGTTTGCATGCACATGTGATGAGGATTGGCTAATATTAGGAGCTGTTTCCAGTAATTTGTTCCACCGTTTTGTTTGTAGCTTTGTTTATGCATTTTACATAATCGGCCGCGTTAGCAACTACTGCTTGGGATTCTCACCATGTGTCTGGCTATGGCTTAGGAAGACAAGCATCAACACAAGAGAAGCCAGAACTGGAATACTGTACCGAGAGAAACTGTTGGCACTACACATAGGTATTGAGAACGAGATTCATCACTGTCTTTTACCTGTGTAAAGTTTTTTCAACACAGCAGAGCAGAGGTGTTGACTAAAGAACAAGGAGAAATTGGATTTTCTCATGGACTGATCAGAAGCATTGGCCAAAACTAGAACTTTCTCCCCTCCTAAGCTATAATAGTCCAATTGGCCCATTAAAAACATTTTATGAGAATGCTTAGAGCTTGGCCACATCCAAAYGCTACATGATGTCTTGGGCCAATCAGTTGATCATTCGCTCATGTGTTCCATATTAGGGGGCTTATACTGAAAAACTGGTGCTCCCTAGCTTCTCATTTCTTCTCCACTTCAAAGCTTAATTACAAAATTTTCCTGTTCTGAAGATTTGAATTTCACTCTATTTTAACAGAATGAAAATAATCATATATGGAGTATTAAAAGATTACTCTTGAGGCTCTTGGACCTAATGAAGTACACGGCGTTCACGTATTTTATTTTATTTTGAGTTTGGCAGAGACAGTTGTCTCGGAAGGCCCAGTGGGAAGAACTAATAAGGGAGACAGTCAGCACTGCTGACAAAACCAGCACTGCTAGCAGAACCCCAAGAAACTGAAGAACAAACCCAGGGACTGACAACCTGGTCCCACAGCATCCTAACCAGCTGACCCCAAATCCAAGGATGTCTGCACAAGGGGAACTTGCTCCAAAGTRGGCATCTCCTGCTGTTTTCCAACTGTGGTCGTATCTCCAGTGGACGTATCTCCAGTTTTCACCGGGCTGGGCTCCCATCCATTGTCACTGTGAAGAAACACAGGTCTCCTGGGAAGATAGGAATGGAGATTGTAATTTCTTTCCTACACACTTTTCTTACACTCTTATGGTTACAGAAGCAATAATGATCAGAAGAGGCAGGGCTATTATTATGGATCACTATAAAAATTGACAGTACTAAGTATTCCACTCATGCCATAGGAAAAACAGACCCTCTGAAGGACTCTTTCTCCAGAATGGAAAGCTAAGAAAACTGTTTATTGATTTCTTCCCTCCAACAAGCTTGATTTGCTTAGATTTACTCCTAAGTCTTTCCAGGCTTTTCAGAGAACTCTGTCTTAGAACTGTCTCCTTCATAGCGGGAAAATTAACAATTCCCAGGGTTATAAAAACAGAAGGAATTTATTGGGTCATATCACATCCAAATGATAATGGAATCATTTCAATTCAAGGGAGTCAATTTTTCCATTTTAGCCTCCTCCTCAATACAACACTCCACCCTTTTCCCTGGGCTTGCCAAATTCTCATTCCTTCCCTCCAGGCTGCTCCAAAAAATAAAAAAGAAAAGGAAAAAAAAAAGAAACTTCTTTTTTTTTTTTAATGCAAAGGTGACTTGCGAGAAAATATTCCCTTTCAAACACAGCAACCTCAACACAAAATGCCATGGGGGTGCTTTTGCACTGCTCAGTAAATTTACAGGGGGCTTTAAGACAGAGTGAACCTGATCCCTGACAGGCTGTTTTCTCAGAGGTGTCTCACTGTGTGTCTTCCAGGTGATCTTGCACCGCTCCACACACCACACTTCAGCATGTGCAGGCAATGGCCCTGCGTGCAGAAGGCTCTGCCACTGGCTCGGGGCATGGTGGTGGTGCACGGAGCACGAAGGGGCTACTCAAGAGTCTTCCTCATGAAACAGCACCCACTGGGGGAAGCACTATTTAAAACTGCTCTTATAAGGGTCCAGCATCTTCTTAAGAAACATGCTTGCCATCCTTTCATGTACAAAGGCTGCGAAGCCTCAGGCCCTTCCCTTTCAGGAAAGGGAGTTAAAGTTGAGCTAGCCACTAGAAGGAATACGTGTTTTTGGAAGAAGGCATGTCTTTGATTCAGGTATATGGGAAAATGTCTAATTCAGCTGTGCACACAGTCATGTTGCGGCCAGATACCTAGGTTGCAGGTCCTGGATATCTAAAATATGTTAAAAAATTATCTCACCTGGTATTTGTCACTGAAGAASTGAGTGCCCAAATAAGCTGACCTGCTTCTGAGACACACTAAGCACAGCCACACAGCACAGGCCTAATCTTGGTATACGCTTCACCTTTGGGACAGAGGGGCTTTGGAAAATTAGGATATTTATGGGGATTTAAGGGGCAGCAACAGAACTCATGCCAACATTAGCCAACACGCTTAACACTCGCCCAGTTTACTAGCKATGTTGAGGCTTGTTGAGCTTCCTATAAACAAAAACATTGTTACAAAATGTCTGGAAGGCCTTTTGGCTTCGTTTGTTTTCAGGAAGAAAGAGAAAGAGGAGGAGTAAAGCACACGAAGACTTGTTGGCACTTGTTTTCTAACTGTGCCAAACAGTTCTTTTAGTTCAGCACTAACTGAACTAAATTCAGTGAAATTCCTGATATYTCACAAGAAGGGAGGCTAGAGACACCAGCGACTTGCACACACTTGTATAAAGAGGACSCCATTTCAATTGCAAACCCCTGGCATTTGCAATTAAACCTCTTCCTAAAGTGCTCATTAAACACAACATTTTCTGCAGTTTAAGAACACTTTCTAACTAAATAATACACAYTATTCTGAAATGTATACTTTCTTATGCAGCTTTCCTTGATAGCTAGAGATTTCCTAAGCAAGACATCTCATACGGATAGTGAAATGTCCCTCTTGGATTGTGCTCTGTCCCCCCGCTGTAGCAGCAGTCGCATCGATTCGCACATGAAACGGTCCTTGAGCCAGGCCTTACACCAGTACACAAAGGATTTCCAATGCCACAATAGATAAGCCATATCCTACATGGCAAGAAAAGGAACAGGAAAACAGTATAGTCATGATATTCTCATATCAACTCTTAAACTTCCACTTCTGTGAAYGTCTATAATACAGAATAATAGGAGAGAAAGACCTTAATTTTGCAAGGTTATTTCTAAGATCTTGAATCCGTTCTGCCTGTGCTGTCCTCCTCTGCTGCAGCCTGGCTACCGCCTCCTTTGCCTGGCCAAACTGGTAACACGGATTTCTTTGGGGAGCAACAGGCATCTGTTCCTGTCCCTYCAACTACCAAAATCACCTCTCAGCTGCTCTTTGCAAAGCCACTGCAGACTCTGCCTGTCCTACATGGTCTGTCATTTTGTGATTTACATGTCACACACTGCTCGCTGCTCATGAGTGACTTCAATTTTATGTTTGGCAAATTTTGCAGGCTGAAACTTTGCCTTTTTTCTCCAGGAAGGGGGAAAGTGGGTGACTGTACTCTGAAATGCATGGACACGGTAGGAAAGAGGAAGGGAGGAAAAGGAAAAAGCAGCAAAGCTTAACCCTTCTTTGAGCATGCTGAGATATCTGTCTGATTTCAGCAAGTGTGAGAAACAGAGCAGAGACCGTTAATGAATCTTCTTCCTCCACTGTTGCAAACAAGGTGAACAATTTAACTTCAATTTAATCCATAAAAGAAAAAAAAGAAAAAAGAAAGCCTGTTATGGGAAGGACTATTAAAAGTACCATTAGGTCCAGCCTCTTCTTAAGAAACGTGCCTGGTTGCTAAGCCCCAGGCCACCTCCTTTCAGGGAAGCTGAGCTACAAGGAATAACACACATAGGAAGAGCACACATTTTTGGAGGAAGGCATTTCCGTGACCATAGTCATCAGGATAAGTTTTGTTGGGTCACTAGGAACCACAAGTGGTCAGAGTGGCCACAGAATACCCCTTTTGCCTTTTTTGATCAAGATGATGCCTGTCTAAAGGTCATCGGCACAGCCTAAAGGCAGAACAGGACGTTCCGCATCCTGCCCCATTCCCTGCAGTCAATGGCCCTGGAGTTGGGCATCTCGGAAGGGTTGATGAGGAGGGCACTTGGACCAGCGCTGCTCCCTCAGCTCATCCCTGCACCTCTGGCTGTCCTGCTCAAGGCCCTCCCGCACCTGGAGCGCCAAGGCACGGCTCTGCTCTCAGCCTCATTCCGCTGGTGCTTGGGAGAGAGGGGAGACGTCGCAGCAGGAACGAGCCASAAGCCAGAACTCATTCAGTTTCGTTAGCTATTTATTTGTTTTTAATCAAAGCTGGTGCTTCACTTCAGGAAAGCATCTGGAAGCATTTGTTTCAAAATAAATTGCTTTTTGACTAAATTTTGGATGATGGGCTTCTGAATTAAGTGTTTCTAGCAAATTTGTAACAGCAGATGATAAAATATACTGTTCAGCTATAATTAGAGCAAATTTACACAATGAAGTTAAGAGTTCTTTGAGCTGTACCTGGTTTTAGTCTGGCAGAGGACTTACATTTGTAAAAAGCTGTCAGTGTGAGCCTGAGTGAGTGCTAATGCACCCAGGCTGCCTTAGGATGCTGACACTATCTATACAGCTTTACTAAAAGGGAGAATTCAGCCCAAAAAAGGAAACATTCTGTGAGCTCTCAAAGTCCATTAGGGACTGTGCTAGTGCTAGCGAGGTTCAAACAGACAGAGAGATGCTAGAGGGACGTGCAACACTATCTAAAACCCTCAGATATCGTTGGACAAGAGCCAGCTCCAGCCACAAGTCAATGTGATCTGTCTGGCTCTTTCTAAAATGCCATCAGCTGAGTCCCGGGGTACTTACTGCTGCTTGAATGTTAAATGTTAGAGGGCAATCGGTTCAGCCTGTGGTAATCAACCAACAGAGCCATTATGCAAAATTAACAGCCCACAGTAAAGCCCATAATGTGCATCAGGGAAGTGGTTATTAATGTCACTGTGGAGGTTAACCTGCATCTTGCGTGCAGAAGAGCGCTGCATCTTTTCAAATGAAGGTGCTAAGGACCCTTTCCCACATAGTTCATCCTTAGGAGTCTCCTTGGATGCTAGGAGCCTCCTCGGATGAGTGTGCTCRGTGCTCCCTCTCCCAACAGCCTTTCCCAGAGAGGGATGTCAGGAGCAGCCACTTCCCAGGGACCCAGAGCGCAGCATTTCGGGATGGCAGGAGCGCACGACCCTGCACTCCCTCTGTGCGCTTCCGAGCCGGATTGCRGGAGGCGCTGGGGCAGCCCTGCAGCAGATGACACGTTCCCAATGCACCCGCGTGGAAGCCAAGCCAGGTTCCCTGGAGTCAGTCCTCCTGGGCACCACATGGAAGCCAAGCTGGGTTCYGCACAGTCAGTCCTCCCAGTCGCTACACAGAAGCCAAGCTGGGTTCCCTGGAGTCAGTCCTGGTCACCGCCAGGTTTGGTTCCAATCTGCGCGGGAGGGAACCAAAGCATCACCATCCAGGAGTTGTCTGCGACCTCAGAAGACCAAGAAATAATTTGTTGGGGTTTAAGGCCTTAATGCAGTCACGTGCAGCAACCTACTGTGCATCAAGCTTTCTTTTTCCTCCTTATTCTTTTAGAATGCACTAACGTAGAATGTCCATGACATCAGGCATTACAAGAATGAAATGATATTATCAAGTTTCTCAGTACTCTCAGAAGCAATGGAATTCAAAGCTACCATCTGCATATCAAATTGTAACAGGCACCATGCCACCAACTCTATTTTGCTTCGTTTTATATCCAAAACTGTGTYAAATGACAAGGGCTTTAGACATGCAAGAGTAGGGACGACTCTATCCCAGAGCAGGATGGAAATCTGCTGYAACAGAAGGAGTTTAAGTTTTCCAGAAGTTTGGGATCATGAAGATTAAATGTTATTTTGGAACCATTTTTCTCTGATCCAAGATGTACAGCCGAGTGGCCAGACCAGACACAACAAGGCTTATTCCCTATCACAGACCTTTCACACTGCTGCTTCTGGGAAAGATCAGAATGTATTTGCTGCAACTTTACACACACATTAATTCTTGGCCACAGATAAAGCACTGGGAACGGTAACTTCAAAACAGCTCTTCTAGGAGAAAAGTCTTAAACCATTGGAAAAGGGACTCCAATGATGCTTCCCATTTAATCCCTATCTGTGAGTCTCCTATAGCTGGGCTGTCTCATGGCAAATGAGGATTTTGTTCTCTGGGTCAAGAGCATTAGACTTTTCCTATCATCCTCACAGCCACGACACACAGCTGAGGGTCCTTGGCAAGAGAAGCAGCCTTGTTTTGAGGCAAGAGTGTCATGTAGTCACCTTCCACAGGGGAAAGGAGCCAGAGTCCCCTCAGAGCTGACTATGACTGTGCAGGGAAGCTGACTACCACTGCTCTAGGAAGCCCTGTGGTGGTAAGTGGTTTGTTTTGCACAAGAGCCTGTTGAAAGTCACCGTGCTATCTAATTGTTCTGAGTTCATCCCTCTACAGGCAGCGTGAATCTAACCTTTAGGTCCTTCAGCTGCTCCCTGACACAGTCATGTTTGTCCCCAGTAATCTTGCTGGCAATGACTATTCATTCAATAAACATTTGGAAATTCCAGTCTGGCCCAATTTCTTCACTCCTTCCAAAAAGTGACTGAGGCAATATCCCCAAGGCAGAGATAATCACACATGCCTTCCTAAGAAAGGATTTTCTTAGCTTAGTCACAAAGCCGTTCACGCAACTTGGCTACCGTGGAAGCAACAGGAAGGAAAAGCCAACATGGAGCGAGGTTCAATGGAGAGAGAAAATGAAACTGCTGGAATCTACCTGAGGATTAATTCACTAYTAGCCTAGAGAGTCCTGCTCCCAAGCACACACCCGTTGCTATGCATCCCAGGTGGATAGAGCATCCACCTGGGCCCTGAGCGAGACTACGGGGTTGATCCAGTCTTCGTGTCTGCGCAGTGGGATGCTGCACTAGGAACCGTGTTCAATTTCTCTTCCCTGGAGCCCACCGAGCAGAYGTGGATCTGCACTGTAAACCTCGCTCCCACCCCGCCAAGATGATCTAATTCCTTTCGACTTCATTGACGTTTGTTTTTCATCTTTCAAAGAATGGCTCCCTTTCAAAACTGGGGCAGCAGCCGAACAGAACCTCAGCGTTTCCTCCCTCTCTCTGGTAAACGTAAACAAAAACATCTCCCCACATGTCTGGGGCAAGATTCCTCATCCCTTCAGCTTTGCTCTGACACATGCAGCCGACCATGTGCTGCCATTCATGATCCAGACACTACTCAAACACACGCTGCTTCCCAGATTCAAAAGCCATTTGCAGAGGAATCCAGGATAGCACAAAGCAGCCTGCCAACATCCAGGTAGAAGAGAATTAGACTGTGTTTCTTTTGGGTACTTTGAATGGTTTTGATTAGAACTGACTGAGGTAAAAGCATCATTCCATTAACTTTTGGACGTTGCTATTCAACAGAGGTTTAGAACATATTTTCCACATATACATGCCTATGCTTATCCTGGAAACTATATACCTTCTACATAGCTAAAACAAGCAGATGTAGTTGGCATTGTCTTCATTCTCCAAGCTGTTAAATATTTTAGCTGCTAAACAAACAAAGATTGGTAATTTTACCCACATGTTCCAAAGTAATCAGCTGTCATATTCATTAGAAAGAAGCCAGAACCACAGAGTTTGGATCCACGCTGCACGCTCRTGGTGTTGAGATTATGATGGGTTCACTCCTGCTAGGCAAAGGGCTGACAGCAGAGATTATTTGACAGATGTCTCAGGGGACTTGGCTGGSCAGCCTGGGGAAACCAAACAGCATCGAGAGGAGAGTGGGGATGAATAGAGGAGGAGGGGAGGAATCGTGAGGGGAGCAGAAACCTTCCAAAATTCCAAATCCAGACAGCCCAACTGTCAGAACTTGTCCCAAAACAGCATTAACTTAGAATTGTGAAGGAAGATAAAGACGGTTTCTTTCCCCACTTCAACGTCTGGAATCCTAATTCGCTGTTTCCTACTGTCGTGCTTAGCCGTGTTCTGAGTTTCAGACACTTCCATATGCGAGATGACATTTTGCTCCGAGCAGCATACCTGGAAGAGGTCTCAGTGCATCCGGTCTAGAGTTCTGCCTCCATTTTCAGATGCAAAAAGTCATGTTTTCTCTACCATCAGAAATATTTTGGCTAGCACGGGATTCAGGAAATCCAATTAAGCAACACTTAGGAGCTGAAGGTCCAGCTTAACTCTTAGCATGTAATTTTAACAACAGTCACATAAGTCAGAAGGTTTTTAAAGCTAAATTTGCAGAATGGAATCCTGTGCAGTGACCTAGTGGGTCAGCAAGTGTTTGTCTTACGTGTGACCTTCCGGTATGGGAAGTTTAAACAAATTCAGACATTTTCATTGGCTTTGGTACTCAGTTTCTGTTATCTCATGTCACTTCTTCACAAGCTGTGCAAAATGCTTTTGGACACAATGGAAAACTGCAATTTCTGTTCCCTATGATTTTTTCCCATAATAAAGAAACTGCTATTTGTTTAAAAACTGAGAGAGAAGGAAACCTATTAAATCAGATTTCTCTCTCTTTTTTTTGTTTTTTTTTCCCTCTTCTCTTCCTATTTAGGATAACTTGTACATCAAGCATAGAAGGAAACCTATTAAATCATATTTCTCTTTTTTGTTGTTTTTCCCTTCTCCTCCTATTTAGGATCACCTGTACATCAAACAGAATTGACATCCTATTAAGTGAAGTGAGATTCTTATGAAGTTATTTTTACTGGTATTGCATGAGGGATGGCAGGGAATTGCCACAAGTCGGTGGATAAGAAGTTTCAGACAGTGAAAAGAACAGGATTGARACCCAGCAACAAACAATTCCCCAGAGGGCTTTAGGAATGAAGGTGATAGGATCTAGGCAAGGAGGACCAAGTGATCTGAGGCTTATTTTCCACGGACACACACCCCCAGCCTGCCCCACGGGGAGGTTTCCCAAAGTTTGCACACACTCAGACCTAAAGGACAAGATTAGGGATCTGATCTAGCATCCTGTTCCACAGACTATCTATGATCTATGGAGCTTAGATGAGTGGTCCCACACATTACATCTTAAAAGCAATGTTATTGCAGCTGTGAAGAAATCCCAGCGCCTGTATTTCTGGGTGATTACAAGTGAACATTGTGCCCTGGATATAACCTTTTGGTATGGCATGTAGAAAACCATAAATCTACCATGACACTTAGGAGCAGAATCTCAGGTCAGAAAGTGCTGTTTGAATTGCTTGATAACCATTGATACCAACAGAAGAGYGACAGAAAATGTGGCAGTTCTCAAGTCCTTCCTACATCAAAATAGTCTCAGGAGGCCAAGTCCAGCACTGGCAGGGACAACCATTTGGACACACACGTACACACTTAGCTGCAGTTCAACTCAAGCAACAACTGCAGTCTAACCCACATCAGAGCAGATTTTCCAGTAAAACATATTCGAAAGATAAGTCTTATCTCTTTCTCTTACATGTCTAGCAGCAAAGCTAGACATGGACAGCTAAAATATATATCTGTGTCACTAAAATATTCCTAGATACATAATCTACTTTTCTAGACTATATTTCTTAGCAGCTGGAAGAAAATAGTCTTTATTTTTAGTATTATCTTTGAGTCTTTTCTGGACACTACATTTATYGCAGAGGCCATTCTGAATTAGGGAGAGGGACTGTTAGATATTTATGATAAATAGTTAATAGCTTTTAAGAACTAGCAGTCATTTTTATTCCTTGTTAGCTTGCAGATTGATTTTCTTTCCTTGCTTTGACTTTCTTCCGTTAATAAACATTAATAAATTTTGCCATTGGGAGATCTGATTGAAAAACAAAATGTTCAGTGCCCCTGATGACTGTTTTGTCAGAGCTGATAACCTCTCTGAGTACAGTTAGGCAACCTGGAGACATGTAGTAAGTAACTGGGGAAACTGAGCTCTCAGAGTGTGCTCTCCCCACACATGCACATCCACACACACTGCCAATAGCTCATTGCTTGTCTCTGTTTGCTCTCATGGAAAACGTTTCACTCATTTTTCCCTGAAAAAGATTATTCTCGGGCAAGAACTGCAAACGAGAAGAGCAAGGCTATACTCTTACCTTTTATAAATGGCTGGCATGACAGCAGTTGAAAAGTACTATCAAGAAAGGTCCTTTTTATTATTATGTTTTCCCCATCACACTTCTGGCACTGTTTCCTTGGGGCGTCATTTCCACTCATCTGMTGAAACAGAAACCCGACATCCCACCGCACTTGGCACGGCCGAAATGAAGAGGTCCATGAGGCGGGAGAACCAGGACGCAGGAGAACCAACAGTGTCTCCCACACTTTCCTTTTGTCTGAGGAGAGGAACATGATATAACCAACTTCCTAGGCTGAGAGATCTAATTTCATCACTCATTAGTAATAAAGCAGAGCTGCTCCCTGCATCATTGAATTACAGTAACTGTTCCAGTTTCCCCACTGCCCTTCCTCTAAGCAGTTAAAGAAGCTACCAGCAATTTCAGGGGTTCGGTGTTATTTGAAGTTTGGCACATAAGATAGAAGGTTATTTTTCTTTTTGAATTAAATCAGGCTGACATTTGCTTAGCTGGTTCTCAGATCTGCAAGTAAAACAAGAGAAGGAGCTTTGTTATTTCAGTCTGTTTTTATCATCTTTCAAGAAGAGCTTCAATTAGAAAACAAACCAGGAATCCATGTGCTGGGCTTAGCATTTGGAGGGGCTTTTTATTTGCAAAGATGGTGGGCCACATTCAGAGGCTAAATGTCAAATGGTTCAAGTTTCTTCATCAGAAATAGTTACAAGAATCCAAAGCCAAAAATCAAGGCCCTACACTTAAAATTAAGCTCTCCCAGTGACTTCAGATCACATAAACCAATGAGCAAGAAGGAGGAACTCAGTTGAAAGTTAAGTTTGAAGGAATACAAATTCAACACTTTTGTACGATTCTTCCTTGTGAAAGACTCCTGCAGGAAGTAGCAAATAACCCCCAAGAAGTTRGGGCTTTGCAGAGATAAGAGGTCTGCAGAATTTTACAGAAAATTGGACTTACTTTTTCTGTAGAACCAAAAGCCACTTCCTAGAACACATTTAGAACTGTACCCTGTTGTAATAACCTACAGATGGATTTAAAAATAATGAAATTATAGTGTTCTGTTACATTTCGTAATTCATCCAGAACGCTGTTATTTCATCCTTTGGATCAGGCTCAGTGATTCATGAATTCTGGAMGCGACTCATGCCTTCCACTGAGATCACTGTTACACCAGGTAAGGCTGAAGCAAGGTGCTGCCCACAGGTACACAGAGACAGAGATTCACACACGGAGCTGGGAGAGGCATTTAGCTCGCTGGATGCTCCCGATGACTTTGACTAAGTCCAAGGAAGATGACTGCAGTGATCACACTGCAGTGATCACAGTACAGAGACCAGCAGTGCAGAAGCTCAGACCAGCTTCGAGAGGAGACCCAAGGGGACAGGAGCAGCTGCTTATTCTTGGTGTTGTCCAACAGCACTGAACTGGGCATCCTATTGAGCATCCAGCAGACTTTTTTCCTGTTTTATACTTTCACAAACTCAGTGGCCACTGGCAGTCTTGCCCCATATATCAAAACTTTTCTGTATAGGAGAATGGTTGGTATTTTCTGCTGAGGACAGTAGCAGTTACAACATTGAAGATCTCAGAATAGAAGAAGTCTTTCAGCTGCTGCTTTGCTTACCTAGACATCAGGTCTGAAAAATCACAAAAGTTACAAGGGAAAAAGATGCCCTTCTTTTCCTTTCCTCACAGTAATTTRAACAGAAGGAGGGAAAATCATGGCATGCATCATGATGAATCCTAATGAGTTAAAATACAAACTTTGCTTGAAGTGGCACGACACATATGATATTTAACTCGAGATGCCTATTGGCATGATCAGGAAAAAAAGAACAAGCTATGCTAGATGCAGAAAAAATACCCACTATGTAAAGTTGTCAGTTATGTAATAGTGGAGCATGCATCTAAACTTAGGTACTTTCCTGCACTGTTAAACAGGTACTTATGGAAATCTATCTTGGACTCCAAAACTGTGGCAGCTTGAATGAGGTACACCAGTGGTACACCAGGTAAGGATTTGGCATGGAAAAAACATAGAGTTTCCTTACTCTAACATTGGCTCATGGGCARTAAAACAGTCAAAATAGGTTGAAAATATAGTGAAAGTATGCTCACATAGCAACTGAGAAAGGGATTGAGAGGAAAAAGAACAAGGCACATGGAAAACATATTTTCTGTATGAAGTAACTATTCTTCCTGCTTAAAAGAAAAAAGGGAGTTGTTAGGGTTCAATGAGGAATTTCAACAGAARTCCCAAATGTTTGATTTCCCTTGAGCATATTCATTAAGCATGTATGGGCAGATTTTCAAAAATATTCAGTTCCCAACAACTCCTATTAAAGATAATGAGACTTGCTGTATGTTAAACAATTTAAAAATCTAGCAAGAAATGGATAGGAAGCAAAACCTTCATAAAAATAGCAGGCTTATGCCAGGGATCTCAACACCGCCACTTCTTACCTGCTGGCTTTCCATTTTCTCATGTCAGGGCTACTRGAATCTTTTGTTAGACGAAGCAGACACGATGAGCTGGTTTCTCATCTCAGTCATTCAGCACCTAATCCAGAGAAACTACAGAGTTATTTACTCTCACCATATTTTCATTGATCTGACATATCATCAGAGGAAACAGACTCTGGCCCTCAAAACTCTACATGCCATGTGGAAGGAAAGTCACTTCTTTAGCACCAACAGTATGCTCAAAAAGTGCCAAGAATCACAGTATRTGAATAATATTTTCTTTGAAGCATTAAGAAGTTTGAAGTGAAATCCAAAAATGCATGCTTGGAAAAAAAAATGCCCTGCACTTTCACAGCCATCATATGTCATTCTGCAAGCATGACTGATGATACATAAGATGAGCCAAAACAGGCAATAAGGATGGCAAGAAATCGCAAAACAAAAAGAGGATCATAAAACACGCACATTTCTTTCAAAAACTTGAAAACAGAATGAAATAACTGACTTCCATGATCAAGATTAACCTTAACTAGTATTTACTGAGATATCTGCTGACAGCAACTGTTGTTCCTAACTGAAGAAGCTAAATAGAAGACTTAGGAAGCCAAGAAAGTCCAAAACTTTTACTTTTAGTTGACCCTGGTATAAGGGAAAGAGGAGGAAGAAGAAACATCACCATTAAATTGAATTGACAGAACTATGTTTTTAGGAAAAATCCATGGATTGGCTGTGCATTCCACAATCAAGATTTTATTATCTCTTCTGTCTGAATTTAGTAGACTCTTAGTCCATCCAGCCCAATACAGASACACAGGTCTCGCTGGAGCCCTTTAGCAGGCAGTCTCTCTCAAGAGTGCCACTCAGCGCGTGCTCCAAATATATTGTCCAGCTGAGGCCATATTTCAACCGAGTAATAAACACTGGAAATGGGTAAAGAAAGAAGAGAGTAATAAAAATGGGAAAGGAGGAAGGCGTAAACAATAAAAAAAAAAAAAATCTGATCAAATTGGAGTGTAAATAACTAAGAGAGGCCAACAATGACAATAACAATGAATAGGAGCAATAGGACAAGAGGAGGACACAAGAGGAAAACTGTCCTGTTTTTGAGATGCTATCCTGAAGTTTGGGAGCCTTACATTCATTTCTCACCAATGCCACAGACCTTCCTTAGGACCCTAGCCAATGTGCTGCATCTCCCTGTTCTTGAGGAAAGGGAATGTAAGCACCTCCTTACATCACAAGCTGGCTGTGAAGGCAAGTGTATTGCAAAATGCARCGTAGGAAGGTGGATAATGAAGGCTATCATCAATCTGTAATACATGTAGAGAGAAGCTGGAAACCCATATAAAGAGTAAAACAAATGGCAACCTAGGAGGAAAACAAGATAGAATGAAAAGCAGGGGATGCAGCTTGTATGCGTCCCTCTGTAGCTATGACTTTCCATACAAATCAGTAGGCCAATCCATCTATCAGCTAATGCTGGGCAGGATCTGCTGTGTCTTTCATATTACGGAGACAGATGATTATGAGAGAACTGCAGCATCACCTGCTCCTAGCTACTGGATTCTAGTGGATTAGCAGATTCTGCCTTGCAGTGGTGACATGGGAATAGTTTAACACAGGCACTGCCTCAGGCACATGGACTGAGCTAATGAACATGTAGTTTAACTGCTGCATCTATTGATACCCAATACGCAGACTTCCCATAAGGTTTTCTTGGAATCATATACACCTATAAAGACCTGTATGTATGCCATACATATGTAAACATGCCTATGTATGCATAAATAGAAGGCTCCATTTGAAAAATTAAATTTAACCTGAAGATCTGATTAGCTTGGAAAGTTTCTTTGTTTTCTTTTTAACTTCCTCTCCCCTTTTATAGGCTATTTGTAAGGGACACGCTTGCTTATATGTTGGTTACAGCCTTCTTCTAGTCATACTTACTCTTTTATTTTTTTTTTTTTTTATCTTATTCATCTTCTCTGTTGCATATTAAACAAAGGACAAACATGTTACAGATACCAAACGGATATTTAAGATGATTAAACAGACACGCACACCTGGCCCCTCACATTAACCTATACCGGGCTGTTCCATAAGGTTCCATTACAAAATGTGCTATAAAACAAGGTTACCAGGCCAGAAACTAATTAGCCAAGTATTTAGATCAGATACCCATCTGTAATTCATATCAAGGCAAAATTTGGTGCAGTTAGCTGAAGCCAGGGGAAGGAAAAAGGAAAGACAAACAACTCAATGAGGCACTAATTACCTTTTGCAATTCAAGTAGGAGAGGCAGATAAGAATAGAATTATCTCAGGTTACAGTGAGAGGGAGCTTAATAAAAGCCACTAAGCTGCTGCACAGAGAGTCAAGCGAAAAAAACTCTGCAGTGAAGCCACAGAGATATTCTGGTTTGACTGGGGGAAGGGGCTGGCTAAAGAAATGGCTCGTGGGAATTTTGGCATTTGTCACAAAAATGTGTTTAAAAACCAAGATGAGTTTCAGCTGCAAGCATGAACCTGGAGTTCCCCGAAGCTCACAGATGTTTGACTCCAAGGTTTGATTCAAGCTCATCTGTATGTATAAGCTGAATTAACCCATTAAGATTCATTATAGATGCTATTTTAAACCAGTTTTGAAAAGCCAAGAAAAAGAAAGGGGGAGAGGGGCGGAATCTGGGCACCTACAGTTAGGCACAAGTGTTCAGTCTCTGCATCCAACTGGGATGCCTGCCTGCAGCTCACAAAAATTCCACCTCAGCCTCCCAAAATTCACTTTAGTTAAGTGAGTGCAACTTGGTGTGGGGGGTCACCAGCCTGTTTCAGATTGGCACACTTGGCTTTCTTTTTGTGAAGTGATGGGTAGAATGTCATTTAATTCCATTTCCACACTCTATCCCTCATACTTTTGTTCCCTATATCCAGATTTCTGAGAGCATTTCAGCCCGTTATCCAATTCTTACATTTTCTGCCTTTGTATTACACAAGACAGAAGTGTAAAGCTGAACACCAGCAGCAGGACTGATGTGCTGAAGAACAGAAGGTCATACGTAGAAATGCCTGGAGAGGAATATGGAGAAGATGCAATAGGAGATAATCAGAGCAATATTTCTCTAATCTTTCTTCACTATGCACTCAGCCAGCTTGTTTTAAAGGAACTCCTGAGCTTGGGGGGGGCTGCTGATCCCAATGGCATTGAGAACCTAACCTGTTGCAGAGATTGCTAATAATGAGCTGTAAAAAAAAAAAAGAAAAAAGAAAAAAAAAGAAAAAAACACCCCACATATACACTGTATTAATGGAGAAAAAACCCAGACTGTGCATCCAGAGTATTTTGAGCAAAGTAACTACCACTTGTCTGATGCTATGGTATTGAAATCTGTCTTTGGGTAACCATATAACAGCCTATAACACGTTCTTCCTTCAAGAATATCTATAACAGGTTCTTCCTTCAAGTGATGGTGGACAGACTCATTTATATGATGAATTGTTTAAAAAAAAAAAAAAAAAAAACCACAAAGCCTAGAGCCAAGTCATTTCTCTTCCTTTTGCATACCACCATCACAGGCCAAGGCCCTACTCCAAACATGGGGCACACACATAGATCAAAACATGCCCCTCACATCCTCATATGGAATAAGCAGGAACTTTGTCAAAGATCAAAAACTCTCTGTAGCTAATTGTTCACTTCTTCTCTTACCATTATTTTCTTTCATTTTAAACTTCTCCTGACCCTTGATATTCTCCCAGTTGGGACATGTAGCAAAGCGTACGGCCTAATCCTCATCCCCRTGCTACCTGCATGCAGTGAGCACCCCACCACGGGGCTCCGCCTCTGTAGCCAGTGCCAAATGTTTTCAGGAATATCAAACAATTCCTCTGAACACCCGCAGCCAAACTGCTGATGGTCATTTACTCTGCAAAACTCTAAACCCAGGAAATGTCACCTAAACAACTTACTGCCTAAGGAAACAGCATGACTTCTGAATCAGATTTTTTTTTTTTTCCATCTCCTCATCCAATATTACGCAGTCACGGGGGTATTCAGGAATGCTACTCTATTTGTAGAGCTGCTTCGAGCTAAATGTTTGTACAACTGTCTTCACAGCTCACCCCTCGGTGACGGCAAGTCGGGCCGCGCTGCCGGCAGCTTCTGGAGAACATGCAGACCTGGAGCTAGTTACCTGCAACCGGACTTCCCCGAGGTGCACCCTGAACACGCTTGTTCACTTCCCATCTCCTTCATAGCAGTCTTCAGTGTTTCCGGGCCACAGGTTCAGAACTGCTGAGGGCAAGGAATTTTTCTCTTGGACCATGTGCAAACTTTGAATGGAGGAAAAACATCAACCTATAGCACCAGCTATGGAACAAGTCTTGAGTGCTTTGCTCTCCTGAGTCAAAGCCACACAGAGAGACCAGAAACAGATCACATCCTAAAGAAATTTGGCAATTGAAAAGTGACCTGGGTGTTCTCAGGGCATTGAGTTGACTTTTCATGTACAAGGTTGATTATGCTCAAGTTTAATTAAATTAAATTCCTTTACTACAAGGAAGAGAAGCTATGCAAATTTTCAGAGTTGCTGTATCACCACAGTCTTTCTAACTGTGTCCTGCTGTGCTGAATATTTCACAAGTGGTGGAAACTTCATAACAAAGCTGAGTTCCACCAGCTATTCCTGACTAAACCATCCAGACAAGCACAGATATTGAAATACGAACATTGCATCTAGATCTATTCCAAGTCTTCTTTTTTGCAATGAGTTGGGCAGTTTTGAGAGCAGAAACAGAAATGGAAAAGTAATGCTGACAGTATCGCTGACAAAATAATTATGCTTGCAATACTTACAACTTAATATTAAAAGTGTTTTCAAGTGTTCTCTGTTTTGGGAAATTYCATAAGTAGAAACAGAGTCTTGCTTTTTGATTGCTGAATAATTGTTTTCCTACAATTGTATCAATCTCCCCCATGCTTCTCATTTAGCTTAATAAGGTATTGGTCTGCCATCTGCCAGACTTTCAACTTCCAACTCCTTCTGTTAAATGGATTATACTTTGGGAAGCATAATGCTTCAAGGAAATCATCTTGACATACAGTAGCACACTGAAAAGCTACTCAAGTTTCTTAAAAAAAAATAATCAGAACAAAATGGCATTTTTGAACAAGACCAATATGGTGAGACAGGCCCTTGCTATTACCTCTTCTTAGGTATTATCTAGCCACAATTTCCTCCCTCCCATCTGTCCTTGGCAAGGCTGCACATTTAATCCAGACCTAGAGCAAACCTTCAGAGCCTCAGACGTTTTCCCAGAGGAGCAACCCAGCCATCTGGCCACGACCCACAGAAGTTTGAGCACTTGGAGGGGCTCTGCATTCCAAGGCAAATAAAGCAGCAAACTCTTACACACACCTGCTGGGCTCAGCTGCTGGCAAATTATCAGGTCTCCTTCTCTGTGGGAAGACCTTGATAAACAGCAGTTTTCCTCAAACTTCAGCTCCTTTGCAGGAAGAAGGTAAATACCACTTGAGCCTCCCAGCCTGGCTGCCAGGAGCCCTGACCTGTGGGTCCCTCCTGAGAGCCTGAGCCTTTCTTCAGGTGTCACAAGGAAGGGCTGGTTAAGCCCCACAGCTAATTAACCAGCGTGAAATTTGTTCTCATCGTATCTTGCACCCACCAACGTTATTCTAGGCGATAAACAAGCACATCATTAGGAACACCTCCAAGAAAGCTAGAAGAAAAGCAGATAATGCTAGGCTGAATTTTGCTGCCTAGACAGGGTTTAATTGGCAACTTACATATACTGTTGTTGAGTAAATGGATTTTGTTTATATCTGAGCTTTCTTCCTTGCTGTGAGCAGGAAGACTGCATACCTATTGGAAAACAGGACATACATTTCCTCAGGAAAAAAATGCTTCTGTTGACATATCCTTAAAATGGTGGTTACTTCTTTGCAGATATCACACCCAATAATATTTGCAACAGATTTTGCCAGTTGATCTTCTTCCTCTTGTGGGATCTGTTCTCTATTCAAAAAGTAACTTCGTGTAAGCACTAACTAAGCTAACTTTGTAAAAAAAAAAATGGAGTCTTTATTTTAATGTCTATTTTCAGTGTTTTCCTCCATATAAAAAAAAAAAGAAAAAAATTCCTGCATTAAGATGTGTCTCAGAAAGAAATATTTTGTTTCTTTTCTGGGCAACCTTTTAATCTCTTTTCTGAAATTGTGTTTTGAATCAAATGGCTGAACTCTCTCAATTTGAAAATACTGAAAACACATTTTGATCTTCAAGATTCTTTTCTGCCTCTTTTTCACTCATAAACACCGTTTAGGGAACACAGAGAATCCTCTGTTCAAAGCAGTAAATTTGTCCCCAAGGACAAGTCCTTGTGGAAATGTATACACTTACTCTGTGCAAGCTTTTATGTAATATCAGCCTCCCACTGGACCATGTTGATTGATTCTCCCCAGTTCATACAGTTCCCATGTCAGAGGCTCACCAGAAGTCTTTCTGTTTGGGAAGTCTATTTGAGTTCTTTGATGAACGTGTAAAGTTGCTGTTATTGCACTGAGAAGTGTGCTGAATTTTCTTCCTCCTCACTTTCTAGATTAGATGTAATCTAGGTAACTTACTGCTGAATAGCACATTACATTCTCTGCATCCTTCRAACAAGTCTTCCTTGCTGGAGAAGGTAAATTCTATTTTTTTTCCTCTTCTACATAATTATATTTACCTTATGTAAAATACTGCTTTTCTTCTCACCCTCAAAAATACGTATGCAAAGCCAAAGACAGATCTACATTTGGGGTATCTAACCAAGAGGGGACAACCTTCTCACCTGAACTTAACCTGTTAACAGTAAATTCAACCGCATGCAAAGTGTGCATTAATCATTCTTGAAGTCTAATTACATCCAAAAAATCTCAGTTTATGACAAGGACAATTGTGAAGGACTGTCATAAAGCTGGCACGCAGAGTTTAACATATTTCATTCTTATGAAGAAATAGATCATACACTATAAAATCATCTGTATGCTTCATTGGCAACTTCACTGGCAGAATAGGTAACAAACATAAGTTATGAGATTAAAGAGAGACTGGCAGCATCGTCTACTTTACTGCACAGCCAAATTAAATTTTTTGCTTTTGACCCTTGCAGCCAAAATAAATGTACAGCTGGGCCCAAGTTGGCTGGTGACTCCAGTTGGCTTAGCTTTGCCGAGGTTAAGGATGCTCCGAGTACTGCAGAGGCGTTTCCTTCAAGTCTCCAGGGCAAATAACCTTTGCAGAGGCACGCTGGAGTGATACAGGGTACTCGGCATCAAAGCAAACATCAGAAAGGAACTAGAAAAGGCATATRTGAAAGAAGGAGAGGAGATCTAGATCTGAGACACCCATTCCTCTTGTGCCCTTCCAGTGTCTGTGGTGTTCTCTCCCCGCAACAAGCCAGAGCTGGATGCAGGGAAGTTAAAAGACAAGGGAAAGAGAACAGTAGGCAATAAAGTATTCTCCTTGAAGGACATCTTTTCCCTGAAAGGGAAGAAGCTACCTAGCAGCATCTGATACTCCCATATAGTTTCCAGATTGCACATCTGCAACAGAGTTCATGCACTCACAGCACTGGGTCTCACTTAGTGAGCAGTCATGCCCCTTGGTCCATGCAGCTTTCAGAAACAAAATTGCATTGCTTTCAAGTGCTTCTTCTCTGAAGGCAGATGGCCATGAGCCCCAAACCAAACCCAATTTTCAAGCAAGCCATTTAAACGCACGAGAAGCAGCTTGCTTAATTGTTCTGCCTCATGCATATTACAACTAATTCAGGGGAGCTTCAAAAAGCTGGAGCTACCTMTATTTTAGGTAGCCAAATAATAAAGCCTGTCTAGTACTTTCCAATTACAATGGGAGTGGCAAAAAGAGAATCTGACCAAGACCAAGGACTTCACATCATGCTGTTATTCCTCTGTAACCTACTTTAATTCTTCATTTCGACTCCAATCCACCACCCTACACTGTCTCAGGGAAGGTAGTCTAGCTTGGGTTATACATTCTGCCATTTCTCCCGCAGCCACAGTTAGGCAGARCATTCTTCCTTTTAATCTCCAGGTATTTTAGGTCAGCAGCTCCCTTTGGCTGTGGGTAGGGTGAGTATATGACAATTTCTTCAGCCACTGCAGCTTCCCTAGGGTGGTTGACTAGAAATAAAGTGATATTATTGGGATGCCCTGGGAATCACTGCCCTTGCTCCTTTGAAAAGGCAGCACTTTCTTTGGATTGCAATTACAAGGTAGTCAAAACATATAATGGACAACAGTATTGCACGCAGCTGTAACTCATTTAGAGAGCACTCTTCCTTTCCCTGGAGCTAACGTGGTGGAGAAACTGTTCCATCMCTCTTTTCTGATTGGTTTACTGTAATGCCCTTTTCTATTTTGATCAAGTTTATTGCCACAGAGTTATTTCATGYGAGTTATTTCACATGTCTACTTTATGCAGCACATGTTGAACCATGTCTTTGTTTAGTGCTCCAGGATGCAGATGCTTAGCTACAGCCCTGGGTATTATATTAGTTGTCCCTACTAATTCTTTTGCTCAAAAAGAGCTTGCACCTTGTCTGATGTATGCTTGCCTTGAATAGCAATGCTCTTGTAATTAGGGAAGAGGGCAAATGCTCTTGTAATTAGGGAAGAGGGGTAATGTTGTTCTTACTCTCTCTTTTCTATGCTTGGTGTTTAACTTCAAGGGTATACAATTACGCCTCTGTATCATTCTGGGTAGAGACCAAAATGTGTCACCCATCAAAATGTGTCACCCATTCCGTTTCCTCTCTTGATGACAAAAATCAAACTCCTCATCCACAAGTCCATCAGGAAAGCAGAACTCTTCGATATCTGTTTTTGTGAGAAAGTAGTGGGTATAATGGGACATTTGTGGCTTTGATCTCTCAGTAACAACACAAGCAGTCTAGTGGTTGCCCTCTTTCTGTTTTCCTTATCTGCAATGCCTACCTATCTCCCGTGGTCTGGTGGCATAAGCAGAAGGCAATTTCCTGAACACCTTGTGCTCAGCCTCAGTAGCACGAGTAGCAAAGTCCGGGGCAGATTTTCTATCTGTTCTGAACACTGGACATCCAGCAGCAGCACATGAAACAAAGGACAAAGAGACCAGTAAAAAAAGGAACATTACAGTCTTCTTCATAAGGTCTACCTACAATAGACTTGATGTGATATTTACAGCAGTTTATGCTGGTTAGACTGAAGCCAGTGGTCATGGGTGCAGGTGTAGAAGTCCTGGAGGCCCTCATGGTGAAGTGCTGCACATGGTCCATTCACAGCCAGCAAAACTCCCCTGAATATTTGTATTATTTGTTGCACTTACTACTGAGTTACTAAAACCACTGATTTTAATGGTGATCTGCAGGAAAAGACAAACAGTAAGGCAAGGAGCTCCATATTAAGTATCCTATAGGAAGTCTTTGAAGGTTGTTGTTGGACAAGGCAGAGCCATCACCTCCAAGGAGTCTGGCTCAAGGTCCTGTTAAACTGGTTTCAAAGAGCAGGGCAAAAATCCAAGACAGTACAAAGCCGAGGAACTCCCACTGTATGGAAACGTGGCACTCTCTTCTGGAGTCTGAAAGAGATTCAAGCAAGCACAGAGAAGCCTGCAGGCTTCTCTGCAGGAACAAAAGAAGATATGGCCCACCTAAAATTATTGTTAGAGAACGGCAGGTGATTAGGTAGTAGCACTGCCCTAGGCTGTTTCAAAATGCACTTTTCCAGAAACTTCACCGCTCCTACAATGAGTAAGCAGACGTTTGTTTTCAAGCAGTGATTCCCAGTGATTCCCTSTTGGCCAAACCCCTGGCTGGGGCCACACCTGGTCAGATCTCCTGGACAAACACAAGGACCTCTAGCCCTAGAGACCTCAAGCAAAGAGGGAGAAGCCTTCATGCACTAGGGCTGAAGGAGAAGCRGAAGGGACCATAAGAGGGGCCAGCCGTGAGGTACACTGAGAAGAGGACAGGAGYCTGACTGAACCAGTCAGTGTGACACCCGCTTCTGTCACTGGTGATCGCTGTAGCAAGGGAAAAGGAAGGCCGAGGCAAGAAAATAAATGTACACAACAGATAAAGACAAACTTGAATGCGGGACAGAAGCAAACAAAGTAAGTGGGATGAAAATAAAGAAAAAAAGAAGAAGGGCGGCCCAGAGGGAGGACCTCCTTTCCCTTCAGTGTGCAGATGATGAAAAGGAGCCTGRGAGAAGGATCATTTAATAAGGTAGGATTCTGGACTTGGACTCAATTCATTGATCATTTATTCAGTTCCTGTGGACTAATCTGACATT